TCTTGGACATGGTAACTCTAGCAAATCACTCGGAAAATTCGAAGCATTTGAATTGTGCGGCTCACAGAGGGCCATGTTGCCTGCTCGCCACAACAACCACGACCCGCATAGTCCGCTTGATTGGCTCAACCTCCAACATCATAATCCGCTCATCGAACTCGCCCACGAAGTTGACCTTAATAAGCGGAGGGACCAACTATATGGGTCAAAATTCATCTCTAAAATGCTTAAGTCATGATAGCATTAGCGAGACATTCATAGGCCGTGTGGCGAAGTGGTTCAAGGAACAATGAAGGTTGCGGCCGAACAACCAGCAAGGATTAAGGTCGATGAGTCATCAAAGATCGAGTTCGAGGTCGAACACCCTTGACAGAGTTGTAACGACTAGTTTCAAAATAGGACATTAAAGAGAATATTCTAATGGATATTCTCTGCACTTGTACTATTAGGATTTCTAGGAACATGTTCCCTATAAATAGAAAGAGACATAATGATAGGGGACACAAGTTATTCTTTTGTAAAGAACACATTGATTTTGTAAGGGAAAATCTGATCTTATCGCATTTATACAAAAACAACACTTTTACCAAGATTCTTGTCTAGCATTTCCACCAGATCCAAGAACGACACAAGTGTTCAAAGGCTTATCAATCATTCATCATTGTGAGAAGGAATAATCACTGATCTCCTCTTCTTTCGGGTGACTCACACATTTTATTTACTTAAATGCCATTTATTTCTATTTATTACTATTTAATGCCACATTTCATCTTTTTGTATCATTGAATATTACCATCATTGCTCATATTCACTATCATCCGGACAAAATATACTTGTTATTTGGTCTTGACACACGTAGCATTATCTTTTGAGCATTATTTTTAAGTAAGATTAACTCATCTCTATACAAATCTAATTGGTTGAGCCAAAATCAATAATATTTGGTCAAACAAATACTATGCTATTGGTGGGGTATGATCCCTTCACGGCCTGCAAAAGGCAAGAAGTTCAACAAGTGAGCTAGTCCTCAACCCGTGCCAATAGACCTTTGTAGACGTAATTCTATAAAACCCTTTTATATTCGCACTATGAATCTAGTCGCATTGGTAACATAAAAATCAAACCTGGACAAGACTCTAGATCATGCACTTAGAATAATTAAAACATATATATGAACCTAGAGTCCTAGACACTTAAATATTTA